ATTAGCTTATATTACGATAACAATAATGTAAAGCACTAAAGCCGGGATCCGGCAGTAATTACTATTTTAGACCGTTCTGTTACGTTTTATCGATTACTCGTTTCATGCACGATTTAATATATCTTTTTATGCAGCGTGTAAGAAAACGTTTACAACTTCTTAATTATTGATTATTTGATTATCATGATAAACTATGGTATACCTACGTAAAGTTATCAATTTTGTGTTTATAATTTTTCAATTTATTTTAAATAACACCCCCCCTTAGAAATTTCTAGCTACGCGCCTGGTTATAAATATCTTAGGGATGGGATCTAAACTGCATCTATAAACCCTATCAAATTACGCGTATGATGGACCTGTATCAATTATATTGGACACCAGAGCAGTGGAACGCTCATATAGTACGCCTAAGGTTAAATCATGTTTTAGGTCGTCCATGAACTTTGGTTGGTGAAGTTAAGTCGACAAAATTATTAAGCTATAAAATTATCTTTAAAAAAAAGAAGTCTGTTCCGTCAAAGAATTGAATATTTGAAAATATAGACCTTAAATATATTATTACATAATGGTATACTGTATTGTCTATATTAAACCATATTAATTAATATTTTACAAATTCCGACTGTCAAAATGGTAATGAATGCATTATGAAAGAATAAAAGTTAAGAAGGTTTATCATGCTAAGTGAATCGCACGTCTAGAAAATCTATATTTTGAATATTATGCTGATTTTTTCTTACCACCAATCCCGAATCTGTATTTATTTTGTTTGACCTCCCCATCCCTCATCACTAAAAAAAAAAATGAGGTAGAGAATAAKTACCATATCTTTCTCTCAAATGACAACCTCGCTATATATTTATTGATTCTTTTGAAACTTTTAATTGTTCTAACTTAGTGTTGTAATAATATTAAATGCCTTTTGAAGATCAACCGTTTGATGATTTGCCGCTAAGATACACAAGTAAATGATAGTACAAGTACATTGATCGTCACTCGTCGGTCATCGAACTGATTGTGATATATAATATGATATATTTGTAAAATTTAATATTATTATTTTATACTTTTTTTAAGATTATTTGTTGATAACTTACCCTGTTCACTGTTCAGAAGTAATCCTATATAATAATGTGTGTGTTTTTTTTTTCTTCTTTTTGTCTGTCATCACGTTTTGGGGCAGTAAAAATGCTTCGATTTTTGACTTCAGTACCTCGTTCGATCAGAAAGTGAAACTAATTGGTACTTTGGGGGGTCAAAAGTAAAAAATTCTTAATACTTTTCTAAATAATCGAGAAAAACAAACTACAAATTAACGGAAAAACGGGAAATTTTACGCACACTCATTTTTCGA